TACCATAGGAGGGTGGGTGGGACTGAAAACATCCCACTCTGGTTGTCTCAGTGTTTTTCTATATAAATGAAGCATTCCTGCCTCAGTGTCCAGCATCATCCCCGTCAGGTGGATGTTGGACAATGACTTCTGCGACATCAACCGGCTTGCAGCCAAACACTTGGAGCATCAGTCGACAGCTCGGGACGAGGCCTGGGATGCAGCATCCCAAACCCCACAAACCTGGGACGCCTTCGGCAAGCTGAAATGGGAGACACTTCTTTCTTTCTCTTATTTCTACAAGTGATGGCCTCCAACCTAATAGCAATGGCCTCCACCCTAGTAGCGATGGCCTCCAACCTATTCGAATAGCAATGGCTTCCAACCTAGGCCTAAGGTTTTTTTACTGCAGGTTGAAGGTTATCTCAGGGTGTACCTGCCAGACTGACAGACCATCCTAAATGCAGCAGTTGTCATAACGGTCCAAAACGTATAGAAGATTGGTTCATGGCGGGGTTGTTTTGGTGATAATTGGCCATCGCATGAATATTAATGGATGCCATCATATATAAATGGTTTCGTGCTACATCCAGAACTAACTAGTGTGATTGCTTTGTCCATGGGACCACTGGTATACTTGATATGCCTCGTCCGGGCTGTCTTCCGGTGACGAACTTGAGGACTCGAGCGACTTTGGAGACGAGGACGACCCCGAGAACACCAAAAGTGTATCATTCGTGACCTGGCTGCAATGAGGCCACGAACGATGCGTGTCGGACGGACCCAATCCAACTGTCTTCGCACTCATCGTTCTGGGCCGCCAGAACCGCGTGGGTCGGGACGCTGGGGGTGTGAAGTTGGGAGACGCATCAAATAATGCATCAAACAAAACATAGAAAGAAACGAGCAAAGGAAGAAAGGAAGGAAGGAAGGAAGGAACGAGGCAAGAAAGGAAGAGGAAGCAAGGAAGGAAGGATTTTGATCACTGCTTCGAATGGAACATTGTTCTTCCCTGCACGTTTGGGTCCGTTTATTTTTGTTTTTTCTTGATCACACTGAAATATGTTTATTTTTTGATTCATTTATGTTTTTTGTTGATCCCCCGCCCGTTAATGGAATATTGCTCTTCCTTCTGCACGTTTGGGTCCGTTTACGTTTTTTAAAGTTTTTTTTGATTATTAATTTTTCTTCTTGATCCCCTGAAATATATTCATTTTTTGATTCATGGTTGTTTTTTATTGATCCCTCGCCCTGTGAAGTTGGCAGGCAACCATGGAGCGATGGCGCTCAAATCGCCACATGTCGGTATTTTGAGGCTCGGAAAGCTCTGGTGGGATTGCTTGTGCTCTTTTGGGCTGTGACCCGACACTGAAGCCGGACCACATGCAAATTGGAACAACATACTGCAATCTAACAAGCCAAGAATGAGTAAGAATTGTAGGACTTGATCACATTGTTATTGTCCTTGATCCCGTGTTCCTTGATCCCGACATGTTTTACTAGTAGGTGCTTCTCGAGACCTTTCAGTTTTGAGCGCGGACGTGCTCTGACTCCTAGCTTTTCTGCCCAAGCTGCGAAGAACATTCATGAATAGACAGGGCCGTGATGAAAGGCAGCTTGGCCACGGCACCGTAGAGTACTTCTCACCCTAGATTCTCAGTAGGAGACAGGACCAGCTCAGAAGAGTCTTCCGTGCCGAAGGTATGGGCATATTCAACATTTGTTGGACCAGGTTAGAGCTTCAGAAAGGATCTCAATTGTTCAGAAGGGTCGACAGGATCCTTTCTGTGTTTGCATTGGCATCTCGGCTGGATCCTTGAATCATAGAGCATCCAAAGATATCCAAAGCATGCCTTTCAAAGAAAGGTCTTCATCGCCTTCTGCATTGCGTGGCCTTTCCAAAGTGTCTCCTTGCTGGAGCTGAAGGTTAGGCTACAGCTCTTTTGGCTTGTCTCAAAGAGAGAGCCCGCTCAAGAGGCTGGATGGGAAAAGGACCTACACTCTGAAGGCTCTTTTTCATGCGATGTCCAGTCAGAAAAAAAACGTGGGAATTAGGTTCTTCAGTGCTGCTTGTTGTAAGGTGGCCTTCTTCGTACATTATCCAACAGGCGGACGCGAACGAGTGATTTTTTCACGGTGACTGGGCGCCTTGTGCGACTCTATGTGCGGTGCTTCCTGCAACCCAACATGTAACACCTGCATTCAACAAGTTCAAACTATCGTCATCGTCAGAATCTTCGCAAATGTCACGTGGACATGCGGAAAGGCAAGTTGTTGACGCTGACATTCGAATTATGCATTCGATGTGTCCCAATTACCCTTTCTGGCAGGACAACAGCCGCATGCTTCCAGGGTGCTGAGGCTTTCAGGAGAACGTTCTTTTTGGGGTTCCGAAGGAATGAACACCGGACCGTCCCGGACATCAGGACAGGACACCTTCGCCATGTGCCCTGGCTCGGAGCGAGGGTGAAACGACTGCATCACGAGTGCCGCTGAAGGCGGTCTTTTGAAGGGAGCAGTCCGTGCGAACCAAGGCAGGGAACTTTCACTGGTACGGGGTCCTTTGGCTTTCTGGCGTGTCCTGATGTCAAAGAGCCGGACACTCAACCGCCAAACACTGCTTTGGAGCGGTCAGTGGTACTTCAGTTGCCTCAGACTGCCGCAGGTTCTTCGGAAAGGACGTTTTTGTCCGTGAGGCAGGTGTTGTGTGCTGCTGTGTGCACTTCAGTGGCGTTCAGGGCGGCGTTGGCCCGTGGCCAGGAAAAAGCACAGCAATTTCAACAAGGCCAAGTGGCTAGGATCTTGGAGGGGGCATATTTGATCTCAAACATCCCTTTTGCATTTTACGTGTGTCTTAATCTCTTCGTGAGAGCGTGGAAGCTTGGACACGTCGGCCATGAGCCGATCAGACATGATATAGCAATCGGCCATGAGCGGATGGCACGATCGATGGGCAGCTGATATTTGGATTGAGACCTCCACAGAGCAGACTCTTGTCTTGAGCCGAGGTTCGCTTCAATGCCGTCCTGAACGCTCAGGGCCTACCGCACCTGGAGGTGGGATTCTGGAGCGGGAGCTGACGAAGCGAATCGAGCTAAGACAGCCATCCTGGGCAGAACTAGTTCTGAGACACCATATTCATTCATTCCCTTCTTTTTGGGGGTTCTTTTTCTCCAGACGACCATTCTTCCGTTCTTTTTTCATTGCTTTTCGTCCATTCTCGGGTGAAATCAAGTTTTGACAGTTTATGCAGCTGTCGGCCCTCACAAGCGTGTTGCTGCTTCAGGCTCAAAGTCTTGTAGCCTCGGCCAACACCATATTGTACCCACGAGAGGAAGTGACCCAGGAAAATACAATACAAAAAGGTGCCAGGATGGAAGGAGCGACGTGGTGGACATTTCAGTTGATTCTGGGCGACCGAAGATAGTCATCATGAAGAGCATGAATGAAGGACGGACACTCTGACTCAATCAAGCATCCCGCACCAAGCTGAGAATCTTCATGAAGACAAGCAGAAAAAATGGTGCTGCTGTGCTCTTCAGTGCTGTCGCTGGCAGGGATGGGGGAGAAAGGGGGGACAGACGGCACTGATACGGGAAATGCGGAAGGCTTCTTGAAATGTAGCCAGCACTCAGAGAGAGAGAGAGAGAGAGAGAGGGAGAGAGACCCCGGCCCATGCCAGTCGATATGATTGTATTCGATCCTGACCCAGTTAAACTTTTCACGGGGGGGGCTGCCAGATGTGGCGGACTGAGCTTTGTGCACTTTGTTCTGAGCACAGGCAACCCTCCTGCCCATCTCGCTGAAGAGACGCGAGGGACTGGGTCCATCTTTGCTCACAACTAGCACGCATCAAGCTCAGACCTGGCAGGCCTTGCCAATCATTTGGTTCTTTTGTCCAGAGAGACAATAAGCACACAGCATGAGTATAAGCTACTGTGTAGTTTTACTCCGGCCAGTTGCTGTGTGACCATCTTGCCTCAACATCTGAGGAATGTTAGCTTGCCCCACAGAGGGGAAGGCAAGGTGTCAGACCCGAAGGAGGTGGGAGAGTCATGGCTCTTGTGCAAGCGGAAGGTTTGGGCACTTGTTCCTTGGTTCCTTCAGCTCGGATAGGAGTGTTCAATATCCAACTTGTTGCCATCATGCCCAGCCACCGGTCTTTGAGCACTCTTCAGGCCCAAAGAGATGCACCAAGTGAAGTTCAGACGGATGAGGAGACGACGGTGACACAGGCCGCCGGCTGGGAAGTTGTAGCCTAGCATGTCCATGCGAAGTCGTATCTAGTTGGCCTGGCCTTCTTTGCGGCCAGGAAGCCTCAACATCTTCTGCGGTGACGTCAAGTGCTGGAGTGGTTTTGGAGGCAGGTGGCAGTCCTCCATGATTCTCTCCATGACCCATGTGTTTGCCAGGAATTTCCTACCACACCATTTGTGCTAGAGAATGCCACAAAAGACTTGGAGGCAGGTAGTGATGTTACTTGCTTGCAGGCTTTGCAGCTGCAGGATGCGGGTAAACACCTCAAGCCGCGGCTCAAGCGGAGCTTGCCAATTCTTTCTACGAGATCCTTCCTGGCCAGGAATTTTCGACATCGTCTCCTTCAGGACCATCGACTACTACCACAGCAGTCTCGCAGGCAGGGAGTTGTGAGGGTAAATGATCAATTCTTGGCTTCAGGAAAATCAGTTTCCTCCAAAGCAATGCCAGGAGGGACACATCTCTGTTTTGTTATTATCGAACCAGTCCGACTCATATTCTCGGGCTTGGCATGTCCCGACGTTCACGGTGATGTGCATTCGCTTGTCGCTAAATCCTGAAGCACTCAGCTTCAAGGCCCGTTGTTTAGAGATGTTCATGTGTTCACAGCCCTGAAGGGGCCCCGATTGCCCGATGTTGGCACCAAGTGGCCCTCAACTTGGGACTACTTGCTCCAGAAACTGCTCCGATATCTTTACTATGGCTGAAGACCCCTAAGCTTCGTTGGGGAAACAGGTAAGGCCCTTGCCGGCTCGCAGGGTGAAACATGTGAAACCATCACGATTAGCCGTGGAGGTAGATGCTGGTCGTGTGTACCATCTTGCAGTGTGGTCTCCTTGCCCAAACGGTGACCCAAAGTACGATATTCATCGATTGTTGGACGTGCCGCATGCCTTCTGAAATCACCACCACATTTGGCAGGAAAGCACCGATCTTTAGAGCAAATCCGAGTCACGTTTGGAACAGCCTTGATGTCTTACTTTTGCATTTGGCGATGCAAAGTATGGAGCTGGGTTGTTCCAAGTGTTGAAATCGTATGGGAAGGCCTGT